AGTCCCTCCTTCCCTCCCTCCCTCCCTCCGCAAATCCCACTCCTTCCAGGGCTGATGGTGTTACTATTTGGGGGTCACGAAATGACGCTCCAGCTCAGAGACCCACACGGAGGCCTCCCCTCCCTCTGCTTCCTTCTTCCTGATCATGATTTTTGGGGTGGCAACGTTTGTTCCTTCCTCGGCAGGACAGTCTTTTGCAAAGCTGAAGATGGCCGTCCTGTCACCTAATCTCTTTTCCCAGTTCCTTTTGCTCTTCTTCACCAGAGAACGAGAACAAAGCTAAAAACGCAGGAAGAAAAAAATGAAGAAATCATTTCCGATTTATACCTTTAAATTGACCTCCTGTTCTGTGGCTACAGTGCACCTTTCGTCTTTTTAATTTTTTTTAAATCATCGAACCCATCCATCCTAATTACAGCTTTTTCCTGTTTCACGGAAAACCTCCAGAAGGTCTTTCATCAATGGTGGCTTTGATGAGGCTCCAGTTATGGGTAGCTGCTCCCCTCGTGTGGCATCCTTTAAATAAAAACTCAAAGTCAGGAATCTTTTATTCTAACCAAACCACTAGAAAATGTTTTTTAAAAATCCTGTTTGAAACCTGTTCTCTCCGTGGCCCAGTGTTGCCATTGATGTATTTATAGCAGAATAACAGTCAGAAGGGAACTTGAAGGTCTTCTAGTCCACCCCTCCTGCTTAGGCAGGAGACCTTAGACGGTTTCAGAGAAACGGTGGTCCAATCTCCTTTAGAATCTCCAGTGTTGGGGTGAAATTCAGCAGGTTCTGGAGAACCGGTAGCGGAAATTTCGAATAGTTTGGAGAACCGGCAATTGGCTCCTCTGGCTGGAGGGCAGATTTTTGCAGTATCCTTCCCCTGCCAGGCCCACAGAACGGGTAGTGAAAACAAATGGAATTTCCCCACTGGGAGCACCCACAACCTTTTGGTGGCAAACTCTTCCACGGGTTAATTGTTACGGCTTGATTGATTTCCATCCAGTGTTCCTGTCCTGCCTTCAGGTGCCTTGGACTTAAAAGGGGGATTTTATAAGAGGGCTTTAAGACCGCAACACGAAACATCTGGGCAGATGTGGACGTCGCCTTCTCCTTCGTGGTCTTGACCCTCTTTGCTTTTGTATCTTAGAAACCCAAACTCAGAAACGAAAGAATTGCTCAAAGTAAGTTTATTCAAGAGAGTCAAGATTGATGGGAGTCGTGTCCTGAGGCTCAGGGGTCCTGGATTCACACCTGGGTCCCGTAGACCTCCACCTCGCACAGGGCCAGGGAGACCGTGCGGCCAGGAATGGTGACGCTGACGTAGCGTCCCACTTGACCGTCACAGGAGATGGTGCTGATGGAGCCCAGGCGGGTATCGGTGATGGTCCCACAGCTGTTGGAAGGGAAGAAAAGAGGACATCCTTCCGTGGTTTGTTGTGGTTCAGAAAGAGCGAATTAAAGAAGAGAGCAGTTAATGCCTTCCTACAGACGGAAACACGGACAGTTGGAGAACGTCTCCGCGGGAGATTTCCAGGCGCCTGGCATGAACCAGTTAGAAGGCTAGCTTCCTTGGATATCGGACTAGAATGCCTCCCCCAGTCTTTCTCAACCTTGGCAACTTGAAGAGGCGGCTGGCTGTGGAATTCTGGGAGTTGAAATCTACTCCTCTTCAAATTGCCATGGATGAGAAACAGTGATCTATCCCACTGTGATTCCTTTGTGCCATATGATGATGATTTTATTATGGTTTTATCTTAATTTAATGTTTTATCTCCTATATTGTATTGCCCTCATTCCCCCCCTCCACCTGTTATCTACCTACCTACCTACCTAC